AACAAGGAAATAGCACTAACAAACGACAACAACAACAAACCCTGGGTAAGAAAGCATTGGTTCTCAGCCACAGCATTGCTTTGAGTGTTAGGAGCTGTGTGTGCTGGCTGCTGATTTTTATGGTGTGTGGAGGGGAAAAAAAAAATGTTCAGAATGTCTCCTCCTCTGCTTCCTTTCTACCAATCCAAGCACACTGGAAGTCTGTGAGACAGTGAATATGTTTCAGAGATACAAATTGCATGGCAGCACTGATTCAGATACAGAAGCTTGTGGAATCGGAAAGCAAGCAGGATGTGCGAGACTGAATTTCTCCTTTCAAGTTTTCAAGGAAGACAATTTGATCCCTACAGTGATATCACAACAAGCCATCTTGAAGCAGCCAGGTTTATTCCTGCTTAAAAATGAGAGTGTGCATGAGTGCACGTATAAGAGGAAATGAAAAATATACTGTCCTGTATTCCTGAAATAGAGGTATTGCCTTTTTGGCTAGGATACTAAACTTATTTACCCTTAATTTCTTTGAATTGAGAACCTAGGTAACAATGCTTCAATTTAAAATACCTGAAACACAGGGAGGGTATTTAATAATACAGGTAGACATGCTATGGCTGGAATAACTTTATAGGTAGCTGCAATTTATCAAAGGGTTCAAGAAAGGGTTTATATTTTATGCAGTGATATCTGATATTTCTCTGCTGCAGAGCTTCTGATACCATATCTGGAAAATTTCTCTTTATTCACAGTACTAAAAACCCAGTGTTTCTGACCTCTCCTTTCTTCCTTATTGAACTCACTTCTCACTACTGTCCTTCACGGAAGCTTTGTTGCAGTCAGATTTAACTACAAGCATACTACAGATTTTCCCATGAATTTATTCTATTCTCTCTGCTTGGACTATTCTTCCTCTATATTTCTGAATACATAATCATCCTTATCTTATGAAATGTTTGCTCATGTCCCAGTTCAATATGGTTGATGGGCTGGAGTGCAGAAGGAGTTGGAGTTGTGAGTTCTGCTCTGTGCAGTCCCCTTCCATTTGGAGAGACAGGCTCCTTCCATGATGCAGTTCTGCTATCTATAACAGGAGGCTTCGAAGATACTTTGAAGTCATCTACCGATAGGCAGGAGAGAAAACATGTAGAATCATGAGGAAGGTGATGTAATGGGTATCACTTCTGCCCACATGTCATTAGCTAGAATTCAGTTATAAGGCCCCAACAATTCCAGATGGATGGAAGATGCTAATTTATCTCAATGCTCAGGAACAATACTTAGCTCTCTCTGTCACAGAAGGATACAGTCCCTCCCTAAATAATTGAAGATTCAGAATTAACCCTGAAATAATTCTCTTGTTTCCTTATTATCAGTAGCCACAAACTACTCAGAGCTAACACCAAAAAGAATCATAGTAAGAAAAGGACAATATACAAAATTTCATAACCTGGAGTTTAATTAATTTGAAAAGTAATTTTGGTGCAATCTTTCGAAACTAACTAAAGCAAAATATGCAGACACTCCAATAAATAAGTAGCGTCCTCTAGTCTTGGCTTGAATAAGTAAAGTTGCCAAGGTATTTGTGGGTTTAATTTACAAAGCCTTCAATTGTAGAGGTAAAAGAAAAAGGTTTCCTTTTTTTAAAAAAGTTGCCTAATTACCAATTTTTTATTTTGGAATTCATGGGAAATATACTTTATTAATGCTAATGGGTTTTTAGTACTGTGAATAAAGAGAAATTTCCAGATATGGTATCAGAAGCTCTGCAGCAGAGAAATATCAGATATCACTGCATAAAATATAAACCCTTTCTTGAAACCTTTGATAAATTGCAGCTACCTATAAAGTTATTCCAGCCATA